TACTACCATATCTGGCCCACCTTCAAACTTTTTTTAAGATTCACTTTTATTTTGATATGATATTGGTCCCATCAGATTGTGGTCTTTCCTGTTTTAATGAAAATGTCAAAAGGCATTTGAAGTAAATTAAGAAACTTTTAAAAATCATGTAATATCCTTGGTCTTTCAAAAAGGTTATTCCTGTTTCAACTATTAGAGTATTTTCAAAACAAAAGCAATACTTTTGCACACAATACTTAATCATGCTACTGAAATTATTCTCATTCACGACCAACAAAGTTATCAAATTATTTCACCAATCTTTATATTTTATTCCTTAGCCTTTCTGTACCTAGGGCACGGTAAGGACGTATGTCTCAATTTCTTCTGGTCTTCTCAGTATATATCATAGGGCTTGGGACTCAGGAGATGTTCCCTGAGTACTTTCTGATGGACAGATGGCTACATCTCTACACATACGAATAAATGCAAACTATTTCTAATAAGTTCTTCCCTTGTGCTATGGTTTGGATCGGAAACGTCCTCCAAAGGCTCATATATTCAAGGCTTGGTCCCCAATGTAGCAGTATTCAGAGGAAGTGATTGGATCATAGGACTATGACATCATCAACTGATTGATCCATAATATTGAAAGGTGACAGAAACAGGATTTAGGACCTAGTTGAAGGAGGTGAGTCCTTGAGGGTGTGCCATGGAAGATGTATCTTGTCCCCAGTCTCTTTCCTTCTCTCTCTCTCTCTCTCTCTCTCTCTCTCTCTCTCTCTCTCTCTCTCCCCACCTCCCCCTCAGTGCCGTCCCCCCACCCATCCACCTAAGGTGAACCACTTTACTCTCCCTCATGCCTCCTGGCTTTATGATGTTCTGCATAACCACAGGCCCAGAAGCAACAAAGCCAAATGACCAAGAATTGAAACCTCTGAAACTGTGAGTCAAAATAACATTTCCTACTTTAAGATGTTTTTCTCAGGTTTGTTTTTTTTTTTTTATTTATATGTGCATACAATGTTTGGGTCATTTCTCCCCCCTTCCCCCTGCCAACTCCCTTACCCCCAACTCCCTCCCTCACCCCCCCCAACCCCTCGCTACCAGGCAGAAACTATTTTGCCCTTATCTCTAATTTTGTTGAAGAGAGAGTATAAGCAATAATAGGAAGGACCAAGAGTTTTTGCTAGTTGAGATAAGGATAGCTATACAGGGAGTTGACTTACATTGCTTTCCTGTGCATGTGTGTTACTTGCTAAATTAATTCTTCTCAAAGTAACCTTTTCTCTAGTTCCTGGTTCCCTTCTCCTATTGACCTCTGTCGCTTTAAAGTATCTGCATTAGTTTCTCTGCATTGAGGGCAAAAAATGCTATCTAGTTTTTTGGGTGTCTTACCTATCCTCATACCTCCCAAGTGTGCTCTTGCTTTATCATGTGATCAAAGTCCAATCCCCTTGTTGTGTTTGCCCTTGACCTAATGTCCACATATGAGGGAGAACATATGATTTTTGGTCTTTTGGGCCAGGCTAACCTCACTCAGAATTATGTTCTCCAGTTCCGTCCATTTACCTGCAAATGATAACATTTCATTCTTCTTCATGGCTGCATAAAATTCCATTGTGTATAGATTCCACATTTTCTTAATCCATTCATCAGTTGTGGGGCATCTTGGCTGTTTCCATAACTTGGCTATTGTGAATAGTGCCGCAATAAACATGGGTGTGCAGGTGCCTCTGGAGTAACCTGAGTCACAGTCTTTTGGGTATATCTCCAAGAGTGGTATTGCTGGATCAAATGGTAGATCAATGTCTAGCTTTTTAAGTAGCCTCCAAATTTTTTTCCAGAGTGGTTGTACTAGTTTACATTCCCACCAACAGTGTAAGAGGGTTCATTTTTCCCCGCATCCTCGACAACACCTGTTGGTGGTGTTGCTGACGATGGCTATTCTAACGGGTGAGGTGGGATCTTAGCATGGTTTTAATTTGCATTTCCTTTACGGTTAGAGATGGTGAGCATTTTTTCATGCCGTTTCTGGCCATCTGAATGTCTTCTTTTGTTTTCTCAGGTATTTAGTCACAGTGACAGAAAACAGACTAGAATACCTTGGTTTAACAATGTTCTACTGTCCTGGCTCCTCTCAAACCATTGCTCAAAATCCTGTTATTTGTTTTACCTTCTTCCAAATCCTAATGGATTATAACATGAAGCATTTATTCCATTAAATATTAACTCACCACTATAGTCTTGAAGGTTCAGGAAGTGCTTGGATCATGAGGGATCTGACTTCATCAACGGGCTAATCCACTAACGGATTAAAATCTTGTCCCAGGCCTCCTTTTTCTCTCTTTCTCTCTTTCTCTCTCTCTCTCTCTCTCTCTCTCTCTCTCTCTCTCTCTCTCTCTCTCTCTCTCTCTCCCCCCTCTCTCTCTCTCTCTCTCTCTCCTCTCTCTCTCTCTCTCTCTCTCTCTCTCTCTCTCTCTCTCTCTCTCTCATCTCTCTATCTCTATCTCTTTCTCTCTATGCTTCCAACCCAGGCAAGAAGTTCACAAGACTCCATCTCAACCAACAGCAGGGCACAGTGGCACCCACCTATCATCACAGTAATGGCAGGAAGTGTAAAATATGAGGATCATAGCCAGGCCAGCAAGACCCTACCTTCAAAATAACCAGAGCAAAAATGGCTAGAGGCATGGCTCTAGCCATAAAGTGCTTGCCTAGCAAGCACAATGCCCTGAGTTCAAACCGCAGTACCACAAAAAAAAAGTTTTAATCATTTAAACAACTCCTTTTCCTGTACTTTCTTGACAAAAATGTCACCAACTTCCCCCTTTATTTAGAAAAGGGTTATTGCAGGTTTTTATCTCTGTTCTGAACAGAACAGAAAGAAATTCAATGAGTAGCTGAATAAATAAATACATAAGTATCCACATATACTACACCAGAAACTAGTTTCTATAATAGTTTTAGATCTTCTTTCCCAAACGATTTGTCAGAAATTTATCAAAGTGTTAAAAAAAAAAAAAAATTTGCCTCTGGACAATTCTAAAGTACTCAGTTATGCTTAACTATTTTTTTCAATGTTTGCTGATTAGAAGTGAACCATATATTTCAAAATACTGATCAGTAAACACGGAAAAGAATGGTCAAGCATTCAAACTCTGTGAATGCACCGCACAATGACACTGCCATTCAAATGAGATGCAACTTTTAACTGGAAAAGCAAAGCTCTAGAATCCCTCTGTGTCCAAGGTTCAAGTTCTACCTCAGCCAATTGTATCCTTAAGTCACCTAACTGCTCTGAGCTTTGTTTCCTCATCTGTAAAAGTGGGATTTTTGACCTACTTGCTCCATGGATAGCAAATATATAAATATGAAAAGCACATAAGGAATGTAAAGGTTCAATAAACTGTAGCAATAAAGGTTCAATAAAACTAGCCAGTGAATCTAGGCAAAGGAATATTTGGTGTTTTAACAGAATGTGTTTATAAAGCTGTTACATAAAACAATACTCTTAAGGTGAACTTGGCCATATACAGTGCAGGCCTGTAATCCCAGCTACTCAGAAGGCAGAGATCAAGAAGACTGCAGTTCGGTCAACTCAGGCAAAAAGTTACTGAGACCCAATCTCAATCAATAAGTGGGTATGGTGGTACACACCAGTGATCCCAGCTACTCAGGAGGCTGTACTGTAGGTAAGAGGACTGCAGTCTGGGACCTGTCTGGGCAAAAACAGAAGATTCTATTGGAAAAAAAACTAAAGTGAAAGGACTATGGGTAGGCCTCCAGTTGTAGAGGGCCTGCTTAGCAAGCTTGAAGCCCTGAGTTCAAACTCCAGTATCACCTAAATAAATAATGAATTCTACATATATCACCTAAAAATAAACAAACCCTGTTAACTGGCTAAAAGAATGGTCTGAATTCTCTAGTCTGGAATTAGCTGTCTATTTTCCATCTAACCAAAAGGTTTGCAGAAGTGGAGGAAAGGACTGATGGAAGGGACTCAAATCTTCAAAAGGTGCTGCTTCAAGCCGGGCACCAGTGGCTCATGCCTGTAATCCTAGCTATTCAGAAGGCAGAGATCAGAAGAATAACAGTAGGAAGCCAGCCCAGGCAAATAGTTCACGAGACCCTATCTCAAAAAAAAAAAAAAAAAAAATCCCAAAAAAAGGCCTGTTGGAGTGGCTCAAGGTGTAGACCCTGAGTTCAAACCCCAGTACCGCCAAAAAAAAAAAAAAAAGGAAAAGGAAGCTTAACAAGCACACTGAACCAGCTGCAGGCAGATTTCAGGAGGCCTTCGTTTTTAAGAATTTGTTCAAGTGACTTCATAAACCCTATTAATGAAGTAAGTTAGGCAGTCCATAGACAGAAATTACAAGAGACTCCATATGGAAGTGAAAAAGAAGTACGTCCAACACACTCCAACCTGTAGATCAAGTGACCACCACGACCCCGAGGGGCCATCAGTGCGGTGATGTCTCAAATCAGGCTAACCACCCCTAGAAAAATAAACTCCCGATGCATTTCACACTCGGTGCACCGGTGTGCCATGCAACCGACGAAGGCTCTCAGGCCACTCATAAAACCTCTCGGCAAGCCTGACCATTATCACAGTACGATGCTGGAAGAAGTTAAGATAAGCTCCCAACCCCAACTCCACTTGAACAGCAATTCACAACGCCCTTTCCAAGCAGCGAAAAGGTGCGAGGGAACGCGCAAGTATTAAGCACCTTGAAAGCACGCGTGGAAACCGAACCCGGCCAGTGCCCGAGGCGCCCGCCGTCACACGCCGGGGCGAGCGCGGAACACACCGAGCCGCCTCCTCGGGTCTCCACCCTCCGCGGCCCTCGGGAGCTCCGCCGCGAGGAACCCAGCACGCGGGGACGGTGGGAGGGGACGCGAGTGTCGCCAGGGAAGCGCGGGCGGCGGGACCGAACCGACACTCCCCGGCACTGCTACCGAAAGGGTCGGCGGGATGGACGCCGGGTGAAGCCCAGGCCCGCAGGGCCGTCCCTGCTTACCCTCAGGGTCCACAGCACCGCGCTCCACATCAGTTGCCGCGGTGGCCGCCGCCCGCGCCGGCCGGCCGCGACCCGCGACACAGCCCCTACCAAAAGCCCCGCCATTGTCGCCCCGGCCGACCCGTGCTCCGCTGACCTCTCACCCCGCTGAAAGGGGCGGAGAAGGGGAGCGCCCGAGCTTCGGCCAATCAGGAGCCTGAGATTCGAAGCCCCGCCCCCCCCGTCGCGTGGGCTGGGGCGTGAGGCTGCTGGGCACTAGCTGGTGGACTGGGGCTGGATCAAGCGCGCTAGGACCCGGAGGGAACGGGCCGGCGGAGCGTGTGGCCGCGAGCTGAGCTGGAGGCCACCGGTCGGGGAGAGTTGCGAGGCCTGCTGGGATGTACCCTGCGTACTGCTTCAGCAGACCTACATTTGCCAACCTTGTGTCATCAGTTCCCCTTTTTATCTTTTGCAGGAGTATTTTACAGCAAATCTCAGCTAATCATCTCACCCGTGAACGCCTGAAAATTCAATTAACTACACAAAATGCTCTTAACTACTTTGCCTCTCCTACAAGTCACCTTGAGAGAATTACAAAACTAGGAATGACCTGGAGTAGGTTACAGCACGGTCAATTGAGACATAAGCAAATATTTGGGAATATCAGAGAAGCAGGAACTTAAGTGACAAATGAAAAGAATTATCTGTGTCACAGATTTCTCACCTAGGTACCTGGAGCTGAATCCATTTCTGTTAGGTTCCTGGCATTCTTGGGGCAGGCAGAAGATCCCAGGTTGGCACTGAAACCAGACCCCCTGATTTATGACTGCTTGCCCAACTCCTTTGATTGTTTCTCCACTTGAAAAACACATCAGAAACTTCCAGTTACCCAACTAGCCAGGCATGTTGACCTGTTCCATCTGGTGATCACAGATAATCAGACCAGAAACTCGCTCCCTCCCCCATGGCTTGGCCCCTCCTATAAAGCCCACTACCCATTTTCAGCCAAGCCGCTGCACTCCAAACCCGAAAGAGTGACAGTCCTGCAGTCTGGATCCCAATAAATCTTTCCACACGTGGCATGGTCTTTATTCGGCACTATCTTACAATTTCTATCCAGAAAACCTGCTATTCTTTTTTCTTTTTCTCCCACTATGGTTAATTCAGTGGAAGAGCACTTGAGTTTTGGCTAATGAAATGTGTGTAGAAATGCAATACACCCCTTCTAGTTTTGGATCATAAAAGTATCCATGAAATCTTCCATGTCCCCCTTTCTCCTCCCAGCTGTCCAGACTCCTAATGTCAATAGAGACTGATGGTGAAGGAAGGCAAATCCTTCTCACCTTTCCACACTGAACTGTAACATAAACAGAAAATCAGCCATTTATTTTCTGAGGCAATTAAGATTTGTGGATTTCTAGAACAGTCTTCCCAGCCTAGTGCAGTGCTAATAGAAGGGAAATTAAATAGAAGAGATTGTTAGACATATTAGAAGGAAAAAGGTAAGAATTAAGAGCAAGGATGATCTCTCTCTCTGAAAATGGAGAGAAGGAAGCCATAAAACTAAGTTATATAATTCATAAATGTTGAAAATGAGGACTGGAGGTATGGCTCAAGCCTTAGAGCACCTGCTTTGCAAGTGCAAAGACCTGAGTTCGCACCCTGGTACCACCTACCACCACGGTAGGTGGGTAAGGGGATGTTAACAATAAAGAACTCTTCTCTTCCAAATCCAAATGTGATAAATTAATATAACAAAATTAAACCACTGCTTAAAAACTGTCAGAATGCAAACATACATTAACAATGTGAAAAACAATATTTATTCCTATGAATAACAACCAAGGCATCTAAAAATGTAGTGAACATTCCTTCTCCAAGACAGAATCAGCATAGGGACCAGCAAACATTTTCTATAAAGGGACAGAGTAAATATTTCAGGGTTTCAAAGCCACATACCTCTTTACTGCACAGTTGTTTAACAATTCTTTACTTTTTTTTTTTTTTTAAAGACTGGGAGAGCCAGGAACATGCCAATAATCCCAGCACTGGGGAGGTTGAAGCTGCAGAAGCATAAGTCTAAGGACAGCCTGTGCTACATAGCTAGACCTTATATTAACACCCTCCCCCCAGAAAAGCACTAGATGTATAGCTCAGTGTAAAGGATTTGTCTAGAATATGAGAAGCCCTGGGTTCAATCCACAGCATGGAAAAAATACATAAATAAATAAGCAAACAAGCAATAAATAAAATTTTGAGTTTTTAGCTCAAAAGCCTTTATAAAAAGTGACCTGAGCAGATTTGGCCCAGGTATAGTTTGCAAACTACACCTGAGCCAAGTGGTCTGGAGTGGAATTCCTCCAAATGTAGTCCAAGAATCAATGCCAGTCTGCATACTTTTATAATTCTGTGATGAAATAGAAACACCTGTATTCTATAGAGCTGTGATAAGATAAATGCTAGGGTAACTATGGTTGAAAACAATTAATTGAATATGTCAAAATAGCAAATAGGATTTTGAATGTTCCCAGCTCAAAGAAATGGTATATGTCTTAGGTGAAAGATACACCATTATCCAATCAAATCAATATAAATTGTATGTATGTACTGAAATACCACACTATACTCCATCAATATGTACAATTACTGTCTGGGCACCAGTGGCTCATGCCTGTTCTCCTAACTATTTGGGAGGCAGAGATCTGGAGGATCAAGGTTCAAAGCCAACCTGGGCAAATAGTTCACAAGACCCTCAAAAATACCCAACATAAAACAGGGATGATGGAATGGCGCAAGTGGTAAAGCACCTGCCTAGCAAGCACAAGGCCCTTAGATAAAGCCCCGGTACTGCCCCCCCAAAAATATAGATAGATAGATAGATATACACATGTACAATTACTATGTGTTTATATATACATATATATGTATATATGTGTGTATATCTATCTATCTATCTATCTATATATATATACACACACATAAATGACTGTGGCTGTAGCTTAATGGCAAAGGACTTGCTAGAGACCCTGGGTTCAAGGCCTAGTACCATATATAAATAAATAAACAAATCAAAATTTAAAAGTACATATTATCTGGATGTAGAAGCACACATCTCTAGTCTTAACTACTCCTGGAGGCTGAGGCAGGAGAATCACATAAGTTCAGTAGTTCAAGACCAGTCTGGGTAACATAGTAAGTTATTCTCTCTTTCTCTTTCTCTCTCTCTATAGATAGATAGATAGATATAATTTTTTTAAAAGCTCATAGAGTTTTTTATTAATTATTCATTTATTCACATGTGCATACATTGTTTGGGTCATTTCTCCGCCCCCCCGTCCCCTCCCTAGACATAATTTTTAATTAAAAACTGATAAATGCTACTCTTGGTTTCAGAATTTATCCCAGCAGAGCCCCTATAACCAGCACTTGGAGCACTGGGGCTAGCCTGCAGACCACACTTTTCATCATGCTGGTGTCAAAGGCCTGTGTCAAGTTTTTGGTTTGTTTTTGGTAGAACTGAGGTTTAACTCAGAGCTTCTCACTTGCAAAGCAGGCACTCTACTGCTTGAGCCACACCTCCAGCCCATTTTGCTCTGGTTAACTTGGAGATGAGTTCCCTTGAACTATTTGAGGCTGGCCTCAAACTGAGATCCTCCTGATCTCAGCCTCTCAAGTAGCTAGGATTACTGGTGTGAGCCACCAGCACCCGGTTATGTGTCATGTTTTATGAGCATCCACCATCATTTCAACACCTTTCTTATAGTGGAGTATTTCCCACATGATGAGTCTTGCCAAGATAGAACAGAAATTTGCTTTGTCTTCCTCCCTTGCAGCTAGGGTTCAGACAATTGACCTAGCTGCACAAGTAGCTGCATCCTACAGTGACCTTGACTCAAGACAGCAAGGTGATGAAGCGGTAGCAGAGATTCTGGCATTGAGTGCCCACGTGAACTGGGGTCTTTGCTGTGGTCTTTGAGGAGTAATGGGGCATTTTTTTTTTCCTCTGCTATGTATTCTCTCACTTGATGTTTAGGCCCTTCGAAGTGCTTGTTAATCTTTCCTAATAGATTCCATTTTTATCTAAACTAGCTAGACTCTTGTTTGCTAATGGATTCCTACCAAATAAATAAAATTAGTTCATTACCTCAAACTAAGTAGTATGCCCATACTATTACTAAGACCAGACAGCTGTCTTGATTCAACAAGAATGTATTGAGTTCTTCTGTTTCAAATAGTGTAACAGAAGAGCAGAAGTGTGTTCTCTTTTCTCAAGGAGTTTAAAATTTATCTGGAGAGTACAAAGTAGTGCACTGAAAACAAATAATAAGCATCAAATTGTGCACCACTCCATGTAAGCCTACTTCCAAAAAGTCCATGAAATGCCTGCCATGGTGACAACTTTGTCCCTGCATAGCAACCAGAGGAGATTCCTGAAGCTTTAAGTAACCATGCTTTCTATCAAGTGACCATCTCATCCTTGACACAATTTATGAGCCCAAGAATGTGAAATCAACTATTACGGAAGACTTGGCAAAATTCTCAGATATGCTTGAACCCTAGGCACCTCTTTACAACAATTACTTATTCTCACAGGAACAAATGAGTAATAGCTCACGACCACTGCCCTTAAGTATATTAAGATCCCCTAACTCATACCTGTACCACAAGAACCAATTGTAAATACTATTGTTTAGTCTAATAGGTGTAGAATAAGGATAAACTTGACTGTGTCCTAAAATATTAAAAGGCTACAGTCAATTCCTGCTTCAGATAAAAAGAATAGATAATATACCAGTAGTTAATATTTATTGAATGCTCACTTTAAGTGGTGTGATTCTATTTCTTTTTAGCTAGTTTTACAGGCATGAGCCACCAGTGCCCAGCTGTGTGAATGTATTCTTAATCCTCATAACTATAACATAGAGATTATTCTTACCTGCTTTTCCAAATGAGCCAGTTAAACAATTTGCTGTAGGTGATCAGCTACTCAGTGGCAAAGCAGGGATAATGAACCTAGGAAAGGAGTCCAGAGTACATGCATTCGACTATGCTAAGTATATCTCTCACAGGAGCTACAACTATAGCTATGAATATTTTACTACCTTAGCTGGGCTGGATGTGGTGGTACACACCTGTAATCCCTGCCGGAGCA